AACGGCCCGCGTTTCTCACTAATCGAGCTGCCTAGGTTGAGCTAACTCAATTAAGTCTCAACACGACAGTGACAGTTCGACTTTCGCGATGCGTTATTATTAATCAGCTGCGAGCTTTCAAGAGATCAGAATAGTTTTGCTCTATAGCAAAAGTTGTTCTTTTAACTGTAACGGGAATTGTTATTAAATGTAAAAACCTAATGCTTTTTGACATAATGTGATTATTGAATTTGTTTCAGCATATTGCTTTGTTTATATTTCAGTTGTATTCAATTGATTACCCACTTTTACACAGAACATATCTTCAAAAAGGCTTTTTTCTGAATATCTCTAAATGCAATTAGCAAATTAGGAGTGGGTTTCTAATCATTCGAACATTTTGAGTGACCTATTTAGATAAAAAAAAATAGATTGTCAAATTGATATATATTGATGATTTAGTGAAATCTATCGAGAGCGATCACTCTCTGTTCCACAGTAAAAATGTTTTAAAAAAATGGCCGTTAATGAAGGTTGGTCGCTCTAAGAGGTTACCTCCATGGACTTCAAAATGTTATCCAAGTTACATGATTTTTCGTAAACTATTTTAATGTTAGTTTAATTTTAAGAGTCATTTTCTTGGCGTGGAAACGCCACTTGTACTGGTGTAGTGAAAACTTTGTAGATGGATAAAGTTTAGGGTTAATAAAAACGATCCTGACAGATGTAATTGTGTGTAAAAACAAGTATTTCAATTAGGAATGATCGAACTATTTATATAAATAAACAATTATATTTTTTTGTTTAAGTTTGCAATTAATTAGTTAGCTTTACAAATGAGAAGAGGTTTGCTTGTTTGACATAATTAGTTTTTCTTCAAAAATAACTTTTCTTTTCTAATTTAACTTTCAACTCAAAAAATAAATAATTGATAGAACAGCTTTTAGAGCACTCTGACTGCAACAGGAGGTTGTAGAATCTTTTTCAGATATCGTCAAAAAGAACTTTAAGAGCCTCACACAAGAATTGGAATGCATTTTAATATACCTATTTGATATGTTAAAATTTTTTTGTTTTGATATTTTCTGTGTTTCCTTCTATGACTTGTTCCGCATTTGGTGCAGAGATTTGCCCGGTCGCTGGTCTCTCCTACAGGTTCTCTTAGACACAAAGTTGACGGGAAAAATTCCGTTTCTCCTAAAAGTGGTCGTAAACAGAGGAGGTGGCTACGTAGAGGTGGTCCTTCTTGGAGATTTTACTGCGTGTGTATATATATGCGAATTAATGGATGCAATTTTCAAGATTTAAAGTTATTTGATCTTAAGTTTTCTAGGTACAATTTTATACATTTTTCTTTACATATTTCCAATTGAGAAACCAACGCATAACCAAACTTCATAGGCCTCTCAAAATGAGTGTTATCGTCCCCCAGAGGGCGGTGAAAGCTTTTGGGCAGGCGCTAGAAAAATCATGTTGAGAAGTCCCAGGGATTTTCAGGTGTCGTTAAAAAACTATGGATGTAATAATATCTAACTTTAAATCTGATGTAGAAGAATGATTGATGTTTTAAATTCGCCGTATAATCTCTGTTATTAATCAAAGCACTTATGCTATAAAAATTATTTTCTTTAAAAAAATATTTTTAAAAATGTCAAGAATATTCTGTAAAACCACCCATTTAGTGATTTTAGCGTTGAACAACGGATTTTCGTTTGAATTTGCAAATAGTCTATATATTTTATTAATAGACAAAAAGACTAAAGACTTATAGACTAGAATAATAGTCTCTTTATTTTAGTCCATGAGCGTAAATTTTGGCAGAAATTGCTTATATATTCTTTAACTTGATTAAACATGCAATTTTTTTTTAAATAATAGGAAATAGTTATTCAAGAAGTTTTTTGAATTTTCGTTTTTTTTTTTCTTTCCCTCAACTCATTTTATACATACCTCAACTCATCTAATACACTTTTAAATAAAATCTCGCATTGTCTCCTTTAGTCAATAATTTAAACCGATATTATCAAAATATTGTCAGGTTCACATATCCTATTATTAGCTTATCTAACAAACTGATTTGGCTTTGCTGTATGGTTCACACTGAAGTAGCTGTACTTTAAGACGCAAACAATGTCAAACTGATTATACGTATAAACGACCATATTTTTTTCAATTTTTTTTTTAAATTTATGAAAAATTATCTTTAATCAAGAATTTAATTTAGAATAAAAGCTGATCAATTGAATTTATTTTTTCGCAAACATTTAAAAAATTTTACAATTGACTATATACAGTCAAATTTGTATAAAAATGAACTTTTCCAATATGAGTCATATGATTTATTTTCAGTAACTTAGAGGTATGATTCTTGAAACGTAAAAATTTTTAAATACCTAAAATGGTACAATTTTTTTATTAATTATTTATTTTATTAATTATCTATTTCAATTAATTATTTGTTTATTTTATTATTATTACCACTCTTTATTTGCTTATTTACTTTCAGGAGAGGGAACATTTAAATTTTTTGACCTGTGGAGTGGGTGATGACCCTAAAAGGTTGTGAACCTTTGTTCTAAAACAAGATAAGATGGAATAAAGATTAATGAAACATCCAATATGAATTTTTCTTCTCAAATTGAATACTACTTTCACTTTTTTTTCTCACATTAACTGAAAGCGATTTCGACTTGGTCAAATATGTTTTTATTAAGAACTTGTTTAAAATTAAGGGAAATTTAAGAACTGTCCCGTAAAACATCAAAAATTTTGAGAACCATTGCTCGTGGTTCCGAACCTGAATCTCTTCTCTGAAATTATTCAAAAAAATTTTGAGAATTTGGTGTGATTAATAAAATCAAAATAGTTTTCTAAAAAAACTTTCTAAAAAAAAATATACAAATTAAAAATAATCTTGATAGTCAAATATTTTTTTAAGATCCTCTGATCAATTACCGTTTTAAAAATTTTTTTCTTTTGTTGTCAAGAATTTTTTAAGGAGCCAAAAAAATATAATTTTTTAAAACAATGGAAAAATAAGGTGGTATAATAAGTTTACAAAACAGTAGCAAAAAATTGTAAAAATTTGGCTCCCAATTTTATTATTTTCTAGTAGAAAGAATTAGTAAAAAATACCATGGCTCTGAATCGTAAGTTTACTAAAAAAAATGTTTCGTTTTTAAATTTCAGAATTGTGCTAATTTGAATCTTCATTTTTTTGTTTAAAAACTATTTATGATTAAATTATGATAAAATAAGTATGAATAAGTAAGAGAATACAAAATTAAAATACGAAACTGTCACAGTTATAAAATTTTCTTAATTTCATTTGGTAATATTAAAATCAGTAATAGCCCTACCATTGACTATGTGCTGAATGTAGCAGATTATTACAAGTTAAGGATTCAGAACTGTTACAGTCAGTTCTGATACTGCTGGAAGCCGCTGTTATTTTTTGGTTTTTATTTATTAATGAACTTCATTTAATCCTACAGTTTTTTGTGTAAAAATTATTTCACCAATCGAAGGCTTCTGGTAAAAATGCAGTAAAAATAAAATTCAGATAGAATGCGGTTAAAATAATAAGTAAGTTAAAATATTATTGTAGTAAGTAGAAAAGTAGAAAATAGTAAGTAAATAAGAGAAAGCAAATTTTAATAAATTAGTTCTGCAGCTTATACTAGCCTAATTAATCCATATTTGGCATCATAATGATAGATTAATGTGCATAAACAGTAAATTTGTATCTTAAGAAAATTTGTGCATTCGGAGAAAATAACCAAATGAATGTTTTACAGCTTTATATGCACAGTAAATTGAAAATAAAGCTACAATTTAAAGTTCAATCTATATAGGAATTAATAACATATATACCTCAATATTTTAGTTACATGATTGAATATAATTATATTTGCGATTTTTTTCTACTTTATACTAATTACTTAAGTTGTCAAAATTGAATACATCATGAAGAAATAAAAGAAAGTTGAGCCATTTTTTAAGGAATAAATACATACTGATGAGTCAATTTTCTTTCATTTGTACTATTTCCGGGATCACGTAAATTTCGTCATGCAAACATCTAATCAATTTTTATCAAGCTTCTTTTAACTTTTACTAATCGATTAATCCAAGTTTTGTATACAGATAGCTGTTTTTATAGGTCTAGAGTGAAAAAACAGTCAGATGTATGAATTACCATTTAATATGTACTGTAAATTAAAAAAAAAATGAAATTAAACTTCCATCTAGATTGATATTAATGACATAAGTACCTTTATATTATTTATATGATTGAATTTAAAGATATTTACGTTTTTTAAATGTTAAATTTACAACATTTTGAAATAATAGAAGAATTTGTGTCATTTTATGAGGAAAAAAGACATACTGATAGTTCAATTTTCTCTCATTTATACGATCCAGGATCACGCAAATAACGGTATGTGAGTATCTAATAAATTTCTTACAGCTTCTTACAACTTCTTACAGCTTATACTAGTCCTTTAAATTCATATTTTGTATAGAGATAGCTGCCTTTATAGGTCTCAGGCTAAAAAAACAATCAAATCTATGTATTATTATTTTCTATGTACTCTAAGTAAAAAAACAAAGATTCGAAGTTCAATCTATGTCGATATCAATAATATGTGCCTTAAAATTTTATTTATGTGACTGAATATATTTATGGTTATTTATATCTTTAACTAAATTTTTAAAAATGACTAATTTCTTAAATAATAGAAGAATTTGAGTCATTTTATAAGAAATAAATGCAAATTTCTTCCATTTGTGCTATTTCCGGGATCACGCAAATATCATCATGCGAATATCTAATCAATTCTTATCAAACTTCTTACAGCTTATACTAATCCGATTAAACCATGTTTTGTATAGAGATAGCTGTCTTTATAGGTCTGGGGCGAAAAAAACAATAAAAACAATGAAATGCCATTTGCTATGCATTGCAAATTGAACTTCTTTTCAGTTGAGGTAATACTTAAAACAGACTTGCTGAACTTGGTTCCTGGTGTTAATGACCTTTACCTGTTGAGTAAGAGTAAAGTGTTGTTGAACCACGTGAAGCAAAAGGAAGCATAAGGACTTCGGTAGAAAAAAGAAAGCAAAATCAGGTTCGTAAAAGAGAAAGTTTTTAAACGTCCATCTCTGCTGCAAGTGCAAGGTCAGCTAGAGGCTCAGTTTGTGTTGTGAGTTTTAAGTGAGCGATTGTGTGGTTTGGCGTAAAAACTGTCATCCGTTTCTCATTGAGAAAAAAGACGCTGATGATAGCTTTTTGGATACTATAACGACCCTCTCATCAGGTAAGTCATAGTAATTTTTTTAGTGTTGTTATTAGCGATTAATTTAATTTATGATTAAAATAATGTTGTACTTTGTTCATATCAAAACAATTGTAATACATAATTATAAACATAGGTCAATAAAATATTTTAAATATCTAGGGGAGATTATGAATTTTTAAGTGCCTTTTACTCGAAAATTTTCTGGTTTCAAATTTAAAAAAAAACAAAGCAGATGAAAAATTAATGAAATATTGGACGCAAGTTACAGATTTTTAGGTGCCTTGGTAACTATGTGTCAGGAATTTTTAGACTCTTTTTTGATGAAACGTAATGTTTTTTAAAAAACAGTATTTTTACTATACTTATTGGACTACATAAGAACTTATTTTTAATATAGAATATTGCATAATACTATTTCAATAGTTATTTCCTTATTTACTCTGAGATTTTTAATGGTCTAACTAGCATGTGATTTTACAATAAAACTATAATATTAGTGAAATGATCAGTGTAAATAAAAGTTGTGACTATTGGCAAGATTACTCTTTGATTTTGGTGGTTTTAAACAACTAATAAAAATTTGATAATTAAAATGAACTTGAAAAGATCTCACTGAAGAGAAGAATATGGTCAAAACTACCAAAATATGGTAAAATTTAAGGTGTTTCTAACTCTATGGAAACAAAGAAGCTGGGTAATTTGTTTGGGTAATATATAAATAGATATATGTATGGGTCATTCTCACAAAAACAGTCATTTTCATGTCCCCAGTATATTTTATGTTTGTTTTACAACTTACGAAAAAAAATTTTCAGGGAAAGTGTCCTTCAGAATGCAAGCTAACAAAAGAATAAAAATAAAATTATCAATTTTTATTTTTTATTAATTTTAGGTAATAAAAATATACCAATATGTCATTCCCTCACTTGTCCCCACTGCTGATTTAAAAAAAGAAAAAAATTGTTTCTGAAATAAAAATTTTTTTTTTACAAATTTGTGTTTTTTATTTCAGAATACTGAAATATAGAATTCAGAAAATCAATTTTAAATTTAATTTCTGATAAAAATATTAACACAGCACTATTTTAAACTTTGTCCCCAGT